CTGGATTGTATTTAAATTTGAGACAGAAGTAGTTCCTCAGATTAAAAAAGAAAAAAGCCCACACTATTTTAATGTTCTTAGCTTTTGGTAAAAAGTGAATCTTTCTTGCTTTAAACAAAATTGAGTCCCTGCTTTTATTCAGGTAGCATGAGATAGGGCGTTATTCACTGTGCCTACTCCAAGCTCCTGGAGGAGAGGAACGCAAATGTTGAACATCACCCCACTGATAAAGCTGTCGAACGCATATTACCAACCGCTCAAGAGCCCATGTGAAACGAGTTGGTGGATTAATTAGCAGAAGGGCAGAGCTCCGAAGATGGAAAGATGCTCTACTGTGAAAGGCGCATTGATTGAAGGTCCTCAGCCACCACCGCAAGGCTGTCATCATCCACTGCAAACACAGCGCAGCGCCAGCTCCTGCACCAGCAGCTAAATCTAGGTCACCTGGCAGGGGCTCCCGGACCATGCACACTCCTCCCTGATCAGAGAGCTGTTTGGGACCCCATTCCTTTAGTAAAATACACAGATTTACCCCTAGACAGACTGCAACAGGTACCTGAAGCACACCTTCCTCTGTTGGTAGCGTGGTCCACATCAGGACAAAAAAAAAAAGTAGGGAAAACTAAACATGCCTGCCCCTGGGCTGCACACATTTGGTGACTGTAGTCACCAAGGAGCAGTTTTATTTATTTTTTTAAAGCCAAGATGTAATCTGGTCTTTGACTACTACCCAGATCTACATTAAAACTCAGCCTCCACTTCTACCCCAGAAAGCCACTATTGCTACAGTGAAACATCTCAAGTGCTGGAACAACAGTCTACTATGTACGTTCAGACCCCATTTCAAAAGACCACCGTTTGTAGTTGAAAGGACAGCATCAAACGTTCCGGTTCCCTGCAGCTACATTAGATAATTCTTTGTACTGTACGTATCAAAAGAGAACATCTTTTCAGATCTCCTTCAAAGGACCCTCTCCAGAGCAGCCTGCAAAAATCCAAGGGCATCATTTTCTTGCTCTGAGAAACGGAAAGCAGAACTCACCGACAATTTCCTTACTTAAAGGGAAGTGAAAATAAATAGTGTCTAGTAAGTGGAGAAACCTGGACATGAAAACAAGCGTGAACTACAGCAGGGCATCGCTCCCAAGGCAGATAAGGAAAAGGTGCAATTTCAACCTCACTTAAAAATCCTTCACCCTTTTATGCATAAACAAATCAAAAATTTGGTCTTGAGCAGACCTATCACATTTTAACCCCATGAAACACAATTTCCTGAACAAAGTTACCAGTTTTAGACAAATTTTACTGGAAAAAGTCTTTTAAAGTATAAAGGATGCAAACTTGTAGTGATTTACTCTTATCTGGCATCTTTTTGCAGAGTGGAGCACAGGGGCTCCACTGCTTTCCTGGCAGCAATAGCTGGGAGTTCACTTGTTAGTTGCA